GCTCAAGCCTGAGGCCATTCCTTCTAGGCAAAGGATACCATCGCACATACCTTCCATCAATCAAGCATCAGGCTATTCTTTCCAAGTAAAGGATACGATCGCACTTTTCTTCAGTCAAATGATACAAAAGATACTATTGCACATTCCTTCCAGGCAATTGATATCATCGTATATACCCAACGGGGAATACCCGCTCCCAACTGTACTGGGTTTTGCCAAGCCCTCACATCTCATAAACCTTGCTCTGTTACCATTGTTAGTCCTAATAAAAAATATCACTAAATAAATAAAATTGATAAGCCACTTATTCGGATTTGTCATTAAATCACAGGGACTTAAGGCTCAATACCAAATCTTATGGACCAAGCCATCCGGTGACAGGCAACCTTGAGAGTCATATTTTGGTGAATTTCATTCGCCTTGCATCTCTTTCTTTCTATCATTTTTTTCTCTTCAATTTCTTGAGGGGTTAACCTCTTTTTATAGAGAATACATTTATTTTGTAATTCTCACATTCATGGTCTGTAGGAGTTAGATCCATGTGTAACTCCTGCCTTAATGCCCTTAAGTACAACTAATTCGGATTAACAAGTGGTCACGAAACTTATAATCCTATCATGAGCTAAACTTGTCATTAGTTCACTAATGACTCATATAATATTCCTAAAATATGATAAAAGACATTTATAAACTAAATAAACTGTGTATATCTATAATATAGAAAAAACAATTCTTACAAGAAATCCAAACACACCACTGGTTTTTACCGTTAGTGATACTGAGTTTTCCATCCACTGCAACATTGTATTAAAGCTAAAAAGTGGATCAAAGTATGTGGCATTGCGTCATGTTAACTACATAGGATTTCATATAAACTACAATATGGCTTTTGTGTCATTATTGAAAAATAAATTTATAGGAGAAAAGGGCCTGATAGGCTACATTTCCAACAAATAGTGCACTCCCACCCCAAGCTTATGTCCTTGGGATCAACAAGGATTTACCCATGTTCATCACCTATTGTGATCTACTATGAGCTCTTCACTTTATCAATCCAATTTACTTTTTGGAGTGTAATCGGGCCATATTAATTCGCCCCAAATATGCTACTTGAAATATGTGACAACCAGCAAAACTAACATATCAAGGGAACATAATTAGCCTATATTATGTATAGGTGAAAACCGAGTTGTTTGCACATGAATTGGGTTATTTAGGAGTTCTTTATACTTTCAATCTCTATTATAGTTTGCATTAGATAAATATACAAATTTTAACACCTCGATTCGGGTCTTGAACCATATTACAAACCTTCAAATGACAATATACACACAACATGGAAAACATTGAAACCACGGCGTGCATGATACTATATATATCTGGACGGCTTCAAGTGATACCAACTGTCTTTTCGTCTGTAAGTGATCTCCACACATAGCAAGGTCTGCAACACTTTCAGGGGCTCATTTTTTTTTTTTCAACTTGTAATAATATTTCTATAAAGGTTGGGATATCACACTCTCTAATGCCTATAATATCCCTTTTCTTAGATCTTGATTAGTTTCTTCAGTCGCCTCCCATACTACATTAATGGGTAATTTTTAGGGGTTTAAAGCAAAAAAGCTTCATTGTTTTTTGTGTATATCCAAAATCAAGTGGTTATTTCTTCCATCGTGGAGTAGTTTTATGAGATAAACATTGTTTTGAATTCAAATGCGTAAGTATCTGAAAATAACAATCTTCTATATATAAAACACGAGCAGGTTCATGACTAGGTGGCAATCAAGAAATTCATATTAGGTTCGGAGTTTGAATACAATGGATAAATAAAGAGAACTAAGTACGCACCTGCGAGCAGGTGCTACACTGGATTTGCGTCGCACATAGTCAGCCAACCTAAGTCTATTTTCTCTCATCACCTATTAGTGCCACACTTAAGTTATCACGAATGTATTCATTTAGAATTTTATTCCTTATTGTCTTGCCACTTATCCATCTCAACTACATTCATCTTTAGATATGTTGTTTCTTGACCGCCCAATATTCCATCTCATATAGTATAAATGATCTCACAATTGTCCCTATAGAACTCCCATTCAATTTCATATTTATGCGACAAATACATAAAATTCCAGTTGTATATCGGGTGCCACCAGAAGGAGGAAGCGAAGCCATTTAATATACTTGGCTTCCCCCTTTTAGTCCTACTAGTAAGCATTCCACGTCAGAATACCTCCTTGATTGGAGAGCCAACGCGGTCTCCACTTTGCCCATCTCGGCTCTAATTCTATATGCGACTTCTTTCTCAATCTCTTAATTTTTTTGGATTATATAAAGCCCTTAGTATATAGTCAAAAATCTACATACACAACATGGTTCTAGAAAAGTTTTATTGACAATAATCTTAGACAAAATATCATTATCAAAACTTATTGAAAAATTAACAGTGGCTAAGGCAACTAATTTATCAATCATGTGGTTATTTTTAAAATCTTTTCACTTAGGTACCTCCTAAATTATGTTGTTAGAAAATACCAAATATGTTCAAATTCTAGATTTGGGAATATGAACAAGCAACATCATTTTTGGTAATCTAACCACTTAAATTGATTGAGTCATTTTTGGTAATCTAGGCACTTAAATTGATTTAGTCAAATAACCTAGATACCCCTACATGTTCTAGGTTATAAATTTGCAAAAATTTTTCATACCAAAATATTTTGTTTTAGTATGGAACTTGGAATAAGTAGTGGTATTTACATGTGACTTAAAAGAGATAAGGTTACCAAAATACTCATTTTTCAATAAAAATATGTTCTAGGGATGAATCCTGAATTAAGCAAGTGTATCTTACATCATTTAACTCAAATTTTGTGATAGTCTCTCTCTCTCTACAAATTTTGAGATAGTTTCTCTCTCTAAAATTTGATATGGTTTCTCTCTCAAAAAATCAATAGACCTTTTCTCTCTAAATCTTAAAATTTGAAATAGTTTATCTCTCTACAAATTGAGATAGTTTATTTTTATAAAATTTTTCGACACTTTCTCTCTCTAAAATATGATATAGTATCTCTCTTTAACATTTTAAATTATTCTATCTCTCTAAAATATAAAATTTAAGATAGTTTCTCTCTCTAAAAATTTTATGGTAGTTTCTCTATCTAAAGTTTGGTATATCTCTCTAAAGTTTAAGAAACTTTTTTTTTATTAAACTTGAAATTTGAGATGGTTTCTCTCTAAGAAAATGTTGAGATAGTTTATATCTCTAAAAAATTGTAAATACTTTCTCTCTAAATTTTAATATTATTACTCTCTCTCAAATTTTAAGATGCTTTCTCTCTCTATCTCTAAAACTTAAAATTTGAAATAGTTTTTCTCTCTAAAATTATGAGATAGTTTTTCTCTCTAATATTTTTGAGATATTTTCCCTCTCTAAAAAAATTTAGTACTTTCTCTATCTAAACTTTGATATATTTTATCTCTCTAACATTTTGAGATAGTTTCTCACTCTAAATATTAAAGTTTGAGATAGTTTCTGTTTCTAAAATTTTTCAGATAGTTTTTCTCTAAAATTTTAATATGATTTATCTCTAAAACTTAAAATTTGAGATAGTTTTGTTCTCAAAACATTTGAGCTATTTCTCTATGTAAATTTTTTTAGGCAGTTTCTCTCTCTAAAATTTTAAGATACTTTATCTCTGTAAACTTAAGATATATGATAATTTCTCTCTCTAAATTTTTTGAGAGAGTTTCTACCTCTAAAATTTTCCAGTTACATTTTATCTCTAAAATTTGATATAGTATTTCTATCTAAAATTTTAAGATGCTATCTTTCTTTCTCTAAAACTTTAAATTTGAGATAGTTTTTCTCTAAAAAATTTGAGATAGTTTTTCTCAAGTACTTTCTCGTTCTAAATTACAATATCTCTCTAAAATTTTAATATATTTTGTCTCTCTCAAACTTTAAATTCAAGATAGTTTATCTCTCTAAAAATTTAAGATAGTTTTTCCCTCCAAAAATTTGAGATAGTGTCTCGCTAAAAAAATTTAGGCATTTTCAGTCTCTAAATTTTGATGTTGTTTCTCTTTCTAAAAACTTTGAATAATGTCTCTCTTTAAAATATTTCTAGGTACTTCTCTTTAAAGTTTAATTTAGTTTTTCTTTCTAAAATTTAAATATACTTTATTTATCTAGTATTTAAAATTTGAGATAATTTATCTCTCTAAAAATTTGAGATAGTTTATCTTTAAAATTTTTTTGGTGATTTATCTATTTAAAATTTGATATAATATTTGTATATATTACAAACCAAACCTGTCGTAATTTTCATATAAAAATATTTCATATCAACTAAACGTGCCATAAGTTTCAGGTCAAGGAGTCAATGAGTGGAATCCACAGACATATTTCAAAAGCAGATTGTGATGTGGAAATGAAATTGTTGAAAAATTAGGGGATTTTCTAACATTTAAGTACTATAAAATTATAATATCTGAATTTTTCTATAGAATTATAATATCAACGGCCAAAATTTTAATAATACCGAAAATATTAAAAATCCATCTCCACATGCCACATATCTCAACGGCCCTTAAAGTCTTCTTCAAAATACATAAAAATGGTGCTCCAGATGGATTCCAGTCATGAAAGGCTGCAGGGTTTGGGCCCCAGGACATATCTTTTTTTTTCCTTAAACCAAAAAGGATCATTCCATTTGGTCCTACAACTCACCTGATTCACGTGAACATATTCCGTACACCAGCGAAGGGATCAAAATCTTTTTCGAGACTCAACACAATATCTGGGCCGTTGATTCAGGCGCCAGCTCAGCTTTGCCCTTTTGGCCCACGGCACTTCATCTCCCTTGTTGGGGTCACGTCTCCTGGGACCAAAACGGTCATCATAGAAGTTGTTAGTGGCATTTTAGTCAGTTAAGAATAGTTATGGGCATTTTTGTTATTTCCACGCCGGCGCCCACTGAACAAGGAGGGAGAGATATGAGAGAGAGAGTCCCCGCTTTTTTTCATCCATTCCAGTTCCTTGTCAGTCATTTGAAATTTCTTTGTCGTTGCAGAGTTGAAAACCTCACACTTTCTCTCTCTTCATTTCCGCTTTCTCTCTCTTCATTTCTTGGTATTCTAAAGTTCCATCTACCGCCATTAAAACCTTTACCGTTGCATGTGCCAAAAATCAGCAACGTGCAAAACTCCATTGACTATCTCTCTACCTCTCTCTAGAATACGTGGCTCCTGGTTGAAACATTTTCAGCGTAGGAAGCATCTATGCGATTGCGTAAATCTAGGGTTTTCTTATTCCATGGATTGAATCCTCTTGTGTCGTGGCTCTCATTGTTACTCACCTGGTACAAAGCTTGTGTCTATAGCCTGGTATCTTGAAGAGGAGTTGTAGTTTTAAAACTTTGCTCTGTTTTTTAAATGTTCAGTTGGCTTGTTAGGGTTTTTGGAAGGAATTAGGGTTCTCTGTTGAGTCTGGGTTCCTGAGGAGTTGGTACTTTGAAGTTCGAGAGAGATGGACCATCAGATGGGTTTGAAGAGAGAGGAGACCGGTGTTGATGCTTCCAAAGAGCTCCCTCCTTGTTGTTTGAAGGCGATGGCTGCTCTTCCAGAGTCCGAATCGAAGTGCATCAATACCGTTGTCACTGGATGGTTCTCAGAACCACAGTCATTTTCTGGTCGTTCTCTATTTGTATTTCTCCTTTTTATGTTATGCATTTTTTATTTTTGATGATCTTGCATTTTTTTTTGGTTGTTGCATGTGCTTAACATTCGTTTATATATTTGTGGGTTCTAATTAAATGTTTGTACAGCTTTTTTTCGAGTATGTATGTAGGTTGTAACACTTTGTTGAGTGGACAGTCCATTTAATTACTAATTCTGTTATTTTTTCTATGTATATCTATTTTGTAACTTACTTTGTGTTCCCATTATTGTTTGCAACAGGAGAGTCATGCAAATATTTCAATAATCCCATGTGGCCAGGTATATCTCCTTGCCTTGATATAGAGACTCTGTTGATGTATTATTAGTTCGTTTTTTTCTCTTGCTATAGATTCGTGATGATTTCTTCTTGTTTGTATTTGACATGTACGTGTTCTTATTTATTTGGATTGGATGTAAGCCCGTGGAACCGCCATATCTGACTATTGGGCTTCTTTCCTCAGTAGCTTTCTTCCTATTCCGAATCATAACCCCCAGTCCGGGACACGCCACTAATGGAATGGCTGGTTATTAGCTATTATTCCAGGCCCGGTTAGGTTTAGGAGTCATGTTTTCTATGTCACTGATGAAGATTAAATAGGCCAGGCTTATTCTCAGGCACGCTAGTTCTTTCTCAAGGCAAGGCCATTTATTCCTTCATAGATTGATTGTTTTTATGACTACTTCATTGCTGATTATTAATGACTAATTAACCCTGTATGCATGCGCCTTTGATTTCAGTAGTGAGTAAGCAAACCAAACAAGTGTTTGAGACCACCATTAGCAGGTATCCTGTTACTAGTTCACAAAGTGAATGAGTTCAGGAGGGATGGTCCAACTGAGCGGTGTAAAGTTAGGCCGACTGAATGAACAGAAAGTGGGATGGTGGCTACAGTACTAAGGACCCTAAAACACAAAACATGTATACCGCCTGAAAGAAGGGTTCATGAATCCACTGACTGACGGCACTCAACTCAGGGAACTCAGGGACTTCGGGCCAGAATCAACTAGAAACTTTTGACTGATCGGACTAAGAGACGAGAGGAAATAGTGGCTCTGAATATTAATGCTCCCTGCTTGAACTACATGTTCTGTTATTGTATACCCGAATTTTCAGCATATGGGGTCCAGCATTTTCTTGATATCTGTTAGTCTTGACTTGAAGATATTGTTATCCACAATTTGTGTTGTTGATTACTGAAAAAAAAAGTTAAAAAAAAAACAATTACGATGCTGTTCTCTGCACATAGAGCAAGCACAGTACATTGTTTTGTTTGCAAAGCAAAAACTGATTTATTTCATTTTTTAAAGAAATATTAATTGGTGTTAATTGGTTATTTCAGGTGTCAATGTGATGCATCAACAAAGAGTTCGTATACTAGTAGGGTCAATTATCTTAATATGCCCTGTTATCCCCTTAAAAAATATATTGTCTTTCAGTATGGGTTTTTCAAGAGCCATGCAAGATTTTTCCATGAAGTTTGGATCTATGAAAGGAAATTTATTCAATAAGTGCATTGAAGTTTCATTGGGAATTTCACTGTCGCCCCGGCCATTGGATGTCAACAGTGAGTGTCTGGGATGCGTGACATAATTTAAATGATGAACAACACATCCTAGCGCCCTCCTCTATATTGACATCTGATGTCGGAATGACGTCGAGTTTGTGAGACTTCACTGTGCTCTTGGCATATGAAATCATGAACTCAGTGCAGCATGGTTTATCTATTGTAGGAGGTTAAGATTGGCCATATCAATTGAATATTGTTTGTTGGCATTCATCTCTTGGACCAAGGGAGGCAATATGTAAATTTTGGGGTTGGCTCAGCAACTGGCAAAAACCAGACATGAATTCTTTTGGTCCTTTTCAATTATAGCAAGAAAAGTTTACAGGACTATAAATTTTGGGAAAGTAAAATTCCAGATGGATCTTTATGTGGCAAACATCTTGGTGACAATAATACATTGTTGGATGATAAAAAATGGGCTGGTATCCAAAAAAAATGAGATCACCCAAGAGGTGAAGGGTTACTCATGAGGGACCATTTGTGAACAATGACCTATGAGGGCATTAGCAATTTTAGGCATCCCTTTGGGTACCTAGCATGGGCTGAAGAACCACTCTCATATTCTACTCCCTTAGGGGCAATGTAGTAGGAACATGTATGCTGTGTTATAGCTTGAGGCACATGAAAGAAATATATTAGGGTTTTCCCCATTGATGCCTTTTGAGATGGTTTCCTGTACAGATTTTGTTGGATCAAATGCAATGTGGGGCCATAAATGCATACTAAGTGCAATGGGGGTATCCTTCCTCTTCACCCTGATTTTAAAAAATAACTCATAAGTAATAGAGCCATGTTATTTGGGAATTGTTAACACCTGTTTTTGAAGCAAGTTCTGATCCAGGGCAGCCAACAAGAGCCTTGCTTCTTTACCTCTCTCTCTCAAGTTCCATCTAAAACCCGATTATAAGAAATTGGAGTCGCTTATGACATGTCCGTACAACACTGAACACTGACACAAAGTCTTATGTGTGTAATATATATAAAATACAAAACTCATCTGGCGACTCTTCCTAGGATTGTCAAGCAAGGCATTTGAAGTGTCTGTATGCATGTTTGTTACAGTATCTTTGTCAGATATTGAACTGTGTCTGATATCTGCGTCTTTGTCAGCTGAGTCAAACTTTTTGTCATCCATTCTTGCTCTTTCTTACCTACTTTGCCCAGTGTCAAAATCTTTACTTGGCAAACATTCTCAATCTCAAAGTTTTGTCAACAGGAGTTGATGAGAGTTGACTTGGTTTTGCTTGGAACTGAGTGTAGTTGAACTTTTAAATCACTAATTGGAACATGACCATGCTTGAAGAATTATCTGTTTAAGTAAATTTGATTTGGTTTCATCTCTTTCTACTGGTGGTTTCTAAAATTTGTTGACTATTTGTTATTAATCTTGAATATGTTTACTCTTTTCAGTTCGATGCTTCTTCGATGTTTGATTAACGAATAGAACAAATTTTTAACATAATACATTTGGAGTTAGTATTGCTCGTTTTCATGTTCATTGAAGTATTTTGGAGTAAGGGTTGAAGAAGGTGTTCTACATATTTGGTAGAAACTTTTGGTTATTGATCTATGTAGAGCCCATGATGTATTTGTCCGTCCTAATGGTATCCAACAAGAGTTATTGCCTGCAGATCTTCCTGTTAAATTTGAGTTATATCAGTCCTTCCCTATCCTCTATCCTCTATATGCATGCAAGCTAACTGCAACACATCACAATGCTACTCCAGTCCCAATTCGTCCTACTTTGTCAGATTACCTTCTGTTTTTTGCAACTTTGTCATTCCTTTTGTTTATAATATTGCAATCCTTTTCATTTTAATTGCATTTATAGAAGTATTGCTGTCTGCCTATTAGTTTTTATTGTTGAAATCTAATTCTCGAGGGTATGGATATGTTCGATTTTATGCAATAATGACACTTCATTTTCCAATAATTGGTGATTTAATATTGGGGTTCTCAATTTGATGTTTGTGCTTGTCTTGAATTTCACTGGTTGTCATTCATAGGAGAAGCTCATTCTTTGAAGGTTGAAAAGATTCTCTTCAAGGGGAAGTCAGACTACCAAGAGATCCTGGTTTTTGAGGTTTGTCCTGCTTGATGACAAATATTGGCTTCTAGGACCATTTACACTGTTCATCTCATTCTTCTGTCTGAGATTATCTCTGATGGTCTTATATGTGCAGTCAACATCGTATGGAAAAGTTCTTGTTCTTGATGGTATTGTGCAGTTAACCGAAAAAGATGAGTGTGCTTATCAAGAGATGATTGCTCATCTTCCGCTTTGTTCCCTTCCTTCCCCTAAAAATGTAATTGTCTCTTATCCTATATTACATGTTTTCTCACACATTTACAAGATTAGATTTGGCTAGTATGATTCATTTGGTTTGTCGACCTTTCATATTAAATATTTTATTGATCTATTTTGTGGATGGAGAAATAAGGCTATGTGATTGACAATCATCCTTGTTCTAAATGACTTCATGGAAGATGGATATTTAATAGGTAAGATTCAGGGTTTCTGGCCATTTGAATCCAGATTGTACCCATTCAAATCTGCCTGAGGGGTAATTTGCAATACTCTCCTTATCGAAAGCCACTGTCTTTCTTTTTTCTCTTTTTAAAGAGTATCTTGAAATAGGCTTATCTGGAATATCCATATCCACTGGTCCTTTTGAGAAAAGAGCAGATGACATATGGGCTTCTGAGCTAGGTATATTCACCTCCTTATTTATTTGAAAAGGCCTAGGGATAATGGCTATTTAAAATATCCTTATTCCACGTACTTATTTTTCTAAAAAGATCTATGGAGTATGGGTATTTGAGATTCCTTATTTCACCTGCTTCTTTTTTTAAGGTGACCCTTGAATTATGGGTATTTCAAATCTCCAGATATCATCACTTTATTTTTTTATTAAAAGGCCCCACAAAATATGACTATTTAATTTACCCATACACCCAAGAAAAATGGGTACACATTTCATGGACTGTTTTTTCAAGAAAGTGGTAATTTTTTTTTTTTTTGGGGGGGGGGGGGGGGTTGGGAAATATTGTAAGTTGCATGATGTTGGGAAGAGGGAGAAAGACAAATAAAATAATCAAGAAAATAAAAAGTAGAAATGAATCATCATCATCATTCAAGCTTTATCCCACTTATTTGCTTAAAGATAGAAATGAATGTGAGAGATTATACCCTCTCTGGCTTTGCAAAGGTAGGGCTGGCTGACAATGGGCCAGACCAGCCTTGGCCTGAGCTCGACTCGGGTCCCTATTGGGCTGCCCATGTTTTATCTAGACTGGGTTGAGCCTAAGGGGCCTAGCCCGGGCCGGGCTTGGCTGGCCTTATAGATTCTTCTTTTCTTAGTAAAGAAAAACTATCGTCAAACAGTAGCCCTGGCCAGCGATGGCCTAGGCCCGGCCTTGCCTGGCCCTTTGATGGCCTAGCCCTTGGGTCATAGCCCTTGGGTCATATTTTATGGCCCAAGCCTTTATTTTTCAAGGTAAGGCCGATTGGGCTAGGCTGAGCCGCCTGGTCCATTGCGAGGCTTAGAAAGGTGTCCTCCCCAAAAGATTTTTACTAGACAACCTATTCTTCTTCTCCATTCTCCTGTTTATTATCCGACACTTAGATTTATATCGAAGAAATAGAAGAAAAATCCTAAAACCTGACTTGCTTGTTGAGAAACCCTAACCACAACTAGATCCAAGCTCTTCATCCATTTTAAAATTAAGCTTCCAATTTTATCCCCAATTCTCTACAACTAAAAAGAAAAGGACATAATTACCCTAAAAAAATCTAAGAACTAATTAACCCAAAACTCTAATTTCAATATCTTTAAAAAATATCATAAAGAATTTAAGCCTTGATTGCATCATTATCCTGGAGTCCGGAGAAGCTCGACCTCGAGCTTGAGGATTCAAAAGAGGAATCAAAGACTATCCCTTTGTCACCATGTAGGTAGCTTTGGATGCTCATCTTTTTCATGAATTTCATTGATTTCTTTCCTTTTTGGGCATTCACGTGCATGATGCCCAATTTCGTTTAATTGCTAATGAGTAACCGTAAAGGATCCTACTTGATATCATTCTTTTCTTTATCAAATTTTGGGTGCTCAACTATAATTTGTCTAGTTAAGGAATTGCTTATTAGTGCTCAACTATAATTTGTCTCCATTTGTAGAGCAATTTGAAAAGCCTTATTCAAAGTCCATAACCGATGTAGAAAAAATATTATTCTTAAAGATTGGTTGGAGCACATTAACGTAATAGGAAAACTCTTGTATTTCAATCCCTCGGAGGTTGTTTCGAGCTAATGGTGCACTAATTTCTTCTCAATCCCTCGGAGGTTGGTTCGAGTCCTCTGAGTGTCACTGTTTCCTTTTAAACTAGCTTTAACTTCATTTTTTTTGTTTTAACCAGTTAAACTAGCTTCAACTTCTTTATTAATGTTATTAACGTAGAAAAAAGAAGTCAAGAGGGAGGACTCGAACCTCCTTACATTTGGGAAGGGACTGAATGTTCTAGCCATAGTGGCCTAACTAACTTAGCAATGTAAATGATATATATTATATGTTATGTTCCTCTCTTTCTCTCTCTCTCTGTGTGGGATTATTGATCCAAATTATTGATCTGAATAAGGATTAGTGGGTGGACAATCCACGCCACCAATCCCTTTTCTAAAACACTAGTTGTACCAAGTTTAAACAATTCAATCCACTCAAAATAGGTTTTCAACTGCACTCAACTAATTAACAAAACCGTGTATGTAAAGCTTACCATGAAACTCAGGGAGATCGACCTTAATACCTCGTGTAGGGGTGGGTAATAGGTTGGGTCGTCTTGCCAACCCGACAGATTCGACTTAGGTTTGGGTATATTAGGTCGGGTTAGGTCCAAGTCTAGGTTGACCCGATCTGACTTGACCTAACTTGAATATTTTAGATGTACTGTTTATTTTATTTAAATAATATTGTGTATTATATAATCTAGTAATGTACTATTATTTTATTATATATTTTTATACACCATATGACATAATTTTTAATATGATGTACTATTCTATAAGATGTTATAACTAGAAGCTTAAAGGGATTCTCAAGAGGATGGTTTCTCTTTATTCCCTTCGACTATTTTTTTGTTATTGAGAGTTAAAGGCATAAATAAGAGAGAGAGAGAGAGAGAGAGAGAGAGAGAGAGAGAGAGAGAGAGAGAGAGAGAGAGAGAGAGTAGTAGAGTAGTAGTAGAGTAGTAGTAGTACGTAGTAGTACGTGTACGTGTCGTCGTCGTCGTCGTCGTCGTCGTCGTCGTACGTACGTACGTACGTACGTACGTACGTACGTACGT